CTAAATTGGTCTTTCAGCCAAATTTACTAATACTAAGTAAAAATTACTTAGTATTAGTAAATGTTGCCCCTACTTGCTATACCGCGAGTAGGGGCATGTCTATTAAACAGTGAGCAGTCTGTGGTGGTGGGTGGGGGCCCTAAAGTAAAATGATGGGGGGGACCTATTCCCCCCCCCCAACCCCTGAGCCGTGGGTGGGGGCTCTAAATACTAATAAGGGGGGGGACCTAATGTCCTCCCCCCTAGCCCCCACCCCTGAGCGGCGGGAGGGGGCCCTAAATTGGAATAAGGGAGGGACCTAATTTCCTCCCTCCTGGCCCCCACTCCTGAGCGGCGGGTGGGGGCCCTAAATACTAATATTGGGGGGACCTAATGTCCTCCCTCCTAGCACCCACCCCTGAGCGGTGAGTGGGGGAACTAAATTGGAATAAGGGGGGGACCTAATGTCCTCCCCCTTGGCCCCCACCACTGAGCGATGGGTGGGGGCCCTAAATACTAATAAGGGGGGTACCTAATGTCCTCCCCCCTGGCCCCCACCCTTGAGCGGTGGGTGGGGGCCCTAAATTGGAATAAGGGGGGACCTATATTCAAAAAGGGTTCAAAATCCTTGCCTGGAAACTATAGACCTGTGAGCGTAACTTCTGTGGCTGGAAAAGTAGAAGAACATGGTTATCAGCAAAAATCTGCATGGTTTTATGAAGCACAGGTCATGTCAAACTAACTTAATTGCATTCTATGAAGAAGAAAGTAGAAGTAAAGATCAGGGTGTTGCAGTGGATGTGATCTATTTTGATTTTGCCAAGGCATTTGATACAGTTCCACACAATAGATTAGTGTTCAAATGCAAAGAAATCGGTCTAGATGAAAATCCTTGTTCTTGGGTAGAACATTGGTTTAAAAATAGAGTTCAAATAGTTGTCATTAATGGTAAATTTTCAAGCTGGAAAGAGGTAGCAAGTGGTGTCCCTCAGGGTTCTGTTATGGGACCCCTTCTATTTAACATGTTTATAAATGATCTTGAAAAAAGCATTGAAAGTCATGTTTCAGTGTTTGCAGATGACACAAAACTCTGTAAAGAAATACAATGTGAGAAAGATATTACTCCAGAGGGATTTAGATAGGCTGGGGGACTAGGCAAATTGAATGTTGAAAAATGCACAGTTATGCACTTTGGCGTAAACAATGCACAAGCAACGTTTACCCTTAATGGAAGCGAATTAGGGATAACAACACACGAAAAGGACTTGGGAATTGTTATAGACAACAAACTATGCAACAATGTGCAATGTCAATCAGCAGTGGCCAAGGCCAGTAAGGTATTGTTTTTTTTTTTGTAAATATGTTTTTATTTCGGTTTATATTGTCGAGAATTAGTCACATTGAGACTCGCAGGTCTCCGTAAGCCTTTAGGGCACAATAACCAAAATACAACATGTGCATAACTTTTTTATATCGGCCAACCGGGCGCGCAGGCCCACAATTGCGGTGGACTCGCAGGTCCCTTACAGCATGCTGTTCTTGTCCCTAAGCTGATGTGACGTTTGCATTCAGTTGCCCCGTTTGTTAAGTCTCATTATGCAAACTTCAGTGTGGACTCGCAGGTCCACTTAGGGTGGGACATGAGCAGCCTTTGGAAAGGAATGACGGTCTGCAAAACCAGCATTGGTGACGTGCCGGTCCCCATGTAGTGGGTGTTATAGTCGGGTGTTGGGCCCGTGAGTCGCGTTGCAGTAAGGCGGTCAGGTATTACCTCTAGTAAACGCTTAGGTGTCAGGGTGGGTCGGCTGGCCCCTCTGAGCCCAGTGTTAAGTCCCGTGGCCTGTTCTGGAGAACGTGCTTGTGGGTGTCATATGTTCTGTTGTCCCCTCATGGAGGAGTGAGCGTCTTCCCGGAGGCCTTATAAATCTCCTCTTATGTTGTCATTGGCGTATGTCAAGTGCCTGTCTATTCACACTCAGTGTTTGGGATTGGGGGGATGTCCGGGTAGTGGCGTCTGGGGAGGTGGGGGGGTCGGGGTGCGTCCGCGTCTGGGTCACGTCTGTCGAGGTCGTCTCTGTATTTGTCGGTCTATGCGGGTTCGTCACTGTGTCCTTATGTGCCATATTGGAGCCTGGTTGTGAATTCTGCCTTGGTAGTAGTCAGTATCCAGTGGGTCCATATGTCCGTGTACCTATTCAAGGAGTTGGGTGTGGTCATAATGAGTTCCTCTATGGCTCTGAGTTCCTCCATTTGGGAGAACCAGCATGTCAACGGGGGTGTCGTTTGTTGCTTCCAGAATTGAGGGATCACCTGTTTGGCAACGTTTAGGATTCTAATGGTTAGTGAGTGCTTGTATCTTGTTCTAGGTGACTTTGTATGGTGAAGGAGCATGTGTTCTGGGAGGAAGGGGGGTGGCGTGTCTGAGAAGGTTTTGAGAAAGCCGTGTATACCCCGCCAGAAGGGCTTTATGGCTTCGCAGGCCCACCAAAGGTGGAGTACTGTGCCGGCCTCTTTATTACACCTCCAGCAGAGATCCGTGTGTTCCGGGTCCATGGCATGGAGTGCAATCGGGGTGCGGTACCAGTTCGTTAACAATTTAAACGCCGTTTCTTGTGTTTTGCTGAAGACTGAGCAATGATGCGTTAAGTAGCATATCTTTTCCCAGTCCCCGTCTGTGAAAGTTTTCCCCAATATTTGTTCCCATCTCCCCATGAATTTGGGTTTCTCCGTTGGTGTTTCCCTTTGTAGCATGGAGTAAATGAGTGAGATCCTGTGTGGTTGCGGGTCTGGGTCCATGCACATTCTTTCAAATGTGGTAGGATCACGTTTCCGTGCCGTGCCCCCCGGGAGGGTGTGTACGTAGCTCTGTAGCTGTCTGTGTTTTAGGTGGTGCAGGAGGGTGGGGGTTGCTCCCTCTAATAGGGTCGGGAGTGTTTTGCATTCCGTGCCTTCCAGGAGGTGGTGTAGTCTGGGTAGTTTATGTCGGATTAAGTCCCTGAATGCGTTGAGGTCTAGCCCCGGTGGGAAGCTGTTGTTATGCGTGAGAGGGAGAAGAGGGGATGGGAATGGCGCTAGTCTGCATCTCTGCGCCACTCTCTCCCATGCCCGTAGGGTTGCGGTTGTACAGGGTGTGCCCTGTCTCCCGCTCCCTCCCCTCCCCAGCCATGGGACAGTGGACAGCGGTATCCCCGCATCCGTTTCCTCTGCCTCTTTCCATCTCTTATGCACCTTCTCTTTTGTCCACTCCATAATTCGTTGGAGGTGACAGGATTCGTAGTACAGGGAGAAGTCTGGTATGGCCAGTCCCCCCCTGTCCTTGGGCAGCGTCAGTGCGGCTAGTTTGACCCTCTGTCTTTTGCAGTCCCAAATATATTTCCCGGTTTCCTGTCGCAGGGCCTGAAAGAATGATCTGGGGATGGTAATGGGTAGGGCTTGCATGAGGTATAGTAGGCGTGGGAGCAGGTTCATTTTTATAACCTGGACCCTGCCCAGCCAGGATATGTGTGGGTATGCCCAATCCGACAGGTCTTTACGGAACCTGTTTAGTAGGGGGATGAAGTTGTGTCTGAATAGATCAGGTTCCCTCCTCGTCAGCCATGTGCCTAGGTATTGTATTTGATGTTGTGCCCATTGGAATGTGTGGCTCTGCTTTAAGGGGGCGGCTCTGTGTTCTGGTATACTAACGTTCAAGATGTATGATTTTGTGAAGTTGATCTTGAGGTTGGATATCTCCCCGAAGGTCCTGAAGGCCTTCAGGATATTCGGGAGCGAGACCTCCGGGTTAGTGATAAAGAAGAGGAGGTCATCGGCGTATGCCGCGACTTTGTGTTGTGTGTCTCCATGTCCAATGCCCCTGATTGCTGCGTCCTGTCGTATGTGCGTCAGGAAGGGTTCGAGTGTCAGCACAAAAAGCAGGGGTGATAAGGGGCACCCCTGCCGCGTGCCGTTGGTGATGGGGAAGTCACTCGTCAGGGCTCCGTTTACTATAATGTGGGCGGTGGGCCCGTCGTACAGCGCCTCGACCCATCTCCGGAAGTGCGGTCCCAGCCCAGTGTGGGCCAGTGTGTGGAACATGTATTGCCAGTCGACTCTGTCGAAGGCCTTCTCTGCGTCCGTGGACAGCAGTAGAACGCCCTCGTCCCCGCAATTACGTCTGTGCATGAGCGTCAGTGCCCTGATCGTGTTGTCTCTCGCTTCGCGGCCCATGACGAAGCCAACCTGGTCTGGATGTATTAAAGTGGGGATGTGTGTCTGGAGGCGTGTGGCCAGTATCTTTGCCAACAGTTTGACATCGCAGTTGATAAGTGAGATGGGCCTGTAGTTCCCACAATGTTCCCTGTCCTTACCTTCCTTCGGGATGAGTGCGATGTGTGCGGTCAGTGACTGTTTTGGCAGGTGGTGTCCTTCCCTTAGTGCGTTCAGGGCGTCTAGGAGAGGGGGGTTTAGGTGTTCCGCGAACGTTTTATAATACTTTAATGGGAGCCCGTCCGGACCGGGGCTTTTACCTAGTTTCGTCACTTTAATGGCGTAAGCTAGTTCCTCTATCGAAATTGGTTCGTCTAGGCTTTCTGCGGTTTCCTGGTCTATGGACGGGAGGGGGTGGGCTGACAGGTAGGCTTGTATTTTCCCCCGCAGGCTGTCCCTCGCTCTGTCTAGGGGGGGCCGAGGGAGGGCATACAGGTTCGCGTAGTAATCCCGCGTTATGTTAGGATTTTAGAGGGTAGATGGTGTAGGGTGCCCTGCCCGTCCCTCATTTTATCGATGTACGTCCTTTGTCTCTGTTTAGCTAACATTCTGGCCAGTAGCTTACTGCTTTTATTGCCGTGAAGTAAGAAGAAGGCCCTATGTCTGGTTACGTCTCTGTGGTGTTTCCTATGTAAGAGACTCGTCAGGTCCCGCCTGAGTTGTAGTAGTGTCGCCTGGTGTGCCGTTTGTTGGGTGTTTTTGTTGAGTGTTTCCACCCTGTGTATTTCGGCCACTAGGTCAGTCAGACGGCTGTCGGTCTGCTTTTTAAGGGTGGACCCCTGGCGGATGAAGTGTCCTCGTATCACGCTCTTGTGTGCCTCCCATCTAATGGTCGGTGAGGTGTGTTCGGTTGTGTTCGTCTCAAAGTATTCTTTGAGTGTATCGTTAATCTCGGTCGTGAAGTCGGGCCTAGTAAGGAGGTATTCGTTAAGCCTCCATTTGTTGTGCCGGGGTCTGTACAGGGGGGACGAGAGTGTTAGGGTTACCGGCGCGTGGTCTGACCATGTCGCCACCCCATGTTCTGCAGCGTTAGTTATTGGTAGATGGTAGTGCGTGGTGAAAAGGTAGTATAGCCTGGTGTAAGTGTTGTGCACGTGGGAGAAAAACGTATAATCTCTCTCGTCCGGGTGATAGGCCCTCCAGCAATCTATCAGCTGGTGGCGAGTTAGAAGGGTCTTGATTGAGTTTAGGTTTTGCGCCGGGACCCACGATCGTCCGGCGGAGGTGTCCCACCGCGGATTGAGCGCTACGTTTAGGTCACCCCCCACTATGAGGATTCCCTCCGTGAAGGGCCTTAGTTTCCTAAGTGTGTGTGCCAGGAATCTGTATTGTCGGGTGTTCGGGACGTAGAGGTTTACGAATGTATAGGCCTGTCCTGCTATTGTGCCCTTGAGGAAGAGGAATCTGCCCTCCCTGTCCGTCAGCTGTCCCGTTTCTACAAAAGGTATATTTTTGTGAACTAGAATGGCCGTGCCTCTGGACCTCCCTGCGTGGTAGTCACTGTAGTATCCCGTGGGGTAGTGATGGTTTGTCAGTTTGGGCCTGGACCCGTCCTTGAAGTGTGTCTCCTGTATTAATACTATCGAGGCTCGTTTAGCATGGAAGTCTCTCAGCGCTCCTGAGCGCTTCTCTGGTTTATTGAGACCTCTGGCGTTTATGGAGAGGACAGAGAGACAGTCCGGCACCAGTGCCTTCGTGTCTGTGTGTGAGTGTGGCCACATCGTGTCGTCCTTGGGTCCCTATCCGGTCAAGGGATCTGTACGTGTCTGTGTCCTGTCTGTGTCGTAGGTCGGGTGGGGGTTGTAGGAAGAGAAGAAAAAGAAGGAAAGGGGTGGGGAGGGGAAGGGGGATGCGGGTTGTATGGGGTGTGGGTGTGCGTATCCTTGTCACTGTAAGGTGACAGTGAGGTGTCAGCGACGGGGAGCGGTTTAGCCAGCGGCCATCTGTGGTCCGCGGCTGCTGCTCGCCTGTCTGTGTCGCTGGGTCCTTTGGGGCAGTAGAAGGAAGCTAAGGGACTTTGGGTGGAACCAGTCCTCCCTGCGTCCGTGCGTATGTCGGTGGTAGATGTGTACCTGAGTTGTCTCGGTCCGTTTGGTCCGTCTAGTCCCCCTGTCGGCTCTATCTGTCAGGTTCTGGTCGTTATGAACGTCCTCCTCGGTAAAGTTCCTGTGTGTTGGGCTCCGGGTCATAGGTCAAGCCGCCTTCTCAGGCGCCTGTCATGTACGTAGGCAAAGAAGAATTAGTTAACAAAACAATTTTGCATTTAAACTTAATAAACCTTTTCTTAGGACTAAACTTTAAACTGTGAACTTGGTTGTGGCATGCAGCTGCCGGCTTTATAACCTGATTGCGTACCAAGCTGTGTACCTAACCTTCGCTCCCGTACCTCCCCCTCTCTGGCACCTGTGGCGGGTCCCTCTGCCCCTCCAGGGATGGTTCGGGTCGTCCCCTACCGGCCCTCCTCTCAGGTGCCCCTCTCCCTCTAACCCGTGCCCGGGCCCCTCTTCAGCGTGTCCCCCTCACCCTTCGTCCGTGTGCGAGTGGGACCCCCCGGTGGTGCCCGCCCCCTGCCTGGTTGGGTCATCGCAGGGCGGTCAGGGCCCCAGCGGCGGGCCCCAGTCCTAGAGGTGCCCCGGGATTTACCTCTCCCCCCCCACCTCGGGTCAGCCTTGGTGAACGCGCCTGGGCGGGGGTCGCTGCCCCCCTGGGGTTGGTCCCTACGCTATGGTTTCGGTCCCTAGGTGTGACCCCCTCCAGCCGGCTCCCTCTTTCCCCCGGTAACCCCGGTGGTGTCAAGCAATGCATAGCCCGTCTGTTGTACCATGGATGCTAACTTGTTTGCATGCTCGGGGGCGAGTAACTTCCCCTGTGGGTAGGGGCTCGTCTGGTAGGCATGTGCATGTTGCCCTATGGCAGTGTCTAGCTGAGCAGGTAGCTTCACCCTCTGACTGCCTTCAGTGACGTGTTCCCCTTACGCTTCCCTAATGCCTTCCCCCCCAGGGTGCGTGAGCTGGGCAGGTGCCCCCCCTGGTGTGCCCGTCCCCCCAACTCACAACTCACAGCTCGATGTGGTTTAGAAGAGCAGTCTCGTTACCCCCAGTGTCCATAAGGGGGTTGGTACCCCTAATAAAGGGGGAGTCCCGGTTGGTGGTACTTGTGGTTATGTGCTGCAGCTGCCAGTGGTTGTCTCTTATGCCGCTGTCCCCGAGGGCCGAGTGGCCTGTTGTCGGGTCCCTCTGCTTCTGTGTTGCTGTGGCTGGAGCCCATGGTTCAGCGGCGGCGTCGTGTAGAAAGCAAGGGGGTCCGGCCATGTCATGGTGATGGGTGGGAGCTGCAGCTCTGCGGCAAGATCACTCAGGTCCTCCGGGTGTCGGACAGTAAAGGGCCCCTTCGAGGTGATGGCCTGCAGCCCGGTCGGGAAGGTCCACCGGTATCTGATCCTGTTGCTTTGGAGGATTCTCGTAAGGGGCTTCATCGCCCGTCGGTAAGCCAGGGTAGCCGGGGAAAGGTCCGGGTACAGCTGGAGTTCCGCGCCATTCAGCAGCACCTTTTCTGTGCTCCGTGCTTTCTGGAGGATGTCCTCCTTTAGGCGGAAGCAGGCCAGGCAACAGACTGTGTCCCTTGGGGGAGCCCCCGGAGGGCCCCTCGGTCTTAGGGCGCGGTGGGCTCTAATAAACTCAATTGCGGTGGAAGCTGGGCAGCCCAGGAGCTTGTTAAATAGTTCTTTAAGGGTGTCTGCTATTGGCGTTGTTTGGTCCAGGTCTTCTGGGATGCCGCGCACCCGTATGTTTTGGCGCCTGCCACGATTATCCAGATCCTCCATGTGCAGGGCCATTTGTCTCATTTGTGCTGTATGATGGTGTATCGCGTCTGTGTTCGCAGACTGAGCGGAGGACAGATGATCAGTGTCTGCTTCTAATTGGGACACTTTAGTGTGGAGGCCCTGGATGTCCTCCCGGAGGGAGTGTAGTTCTGCTGTGATGGAGGCTCTCAGCTCTGAGTTAGCCTCTTTCAGGTCTTGTCTTGTAGGCAGGGCCCGGATTAATTGAACCCAGTCCGGTTGAGGGTCCGGAGGGGTCTGGGCCTGTTGCATCTGGCGGCTGTCTCGTGGTGACGCTGGGCGGGAAACGTCGGCGGTTTCAGAGGCTGTGCAGGCCCGTGCGGCCGCATCTGTGGCAGTCACAAGGAATTGCCGAAGTGAAGCGGCAGCTGTGCCCTTCGGCGTGTCCGTCGGCTTGGTGGTGGTCGGTGCCCGGTGAGTTTTACCCATTTCTGCCCGGGGTATAGGTGCTGCGAGGAGGGTTTGTGCTTGGCCTGCAGGGGAGCTCCGGGATTACGCCGCCATCATTCTCGGCTTCCAAGCCACGCCCCCAGTAAGGTATTGTTATGCATGAAAAAGGGAGTTAATTCTTAGGATGAGAATATAATTTTGCCTCTTTAGAAATCACTGGTAAAACCACATATTGAATATGCTATCGATTGTGGACAGATTTTACTTGTATTTTATGCAGATTGATTCTTACTTCTGTGTAAGTAATAAATTATTTTTATACTTTACTTCTATTTATCTCCATCTCATTTTGGATGCACTTTGCTTTACATGCTGCTGAGACCTGCAATATCAGTTATTGAAAAAAAGATACCATCTGAGCTCTCCAGTGATTACTGAATGCCCTTTTTATCCAGCCAAAGTGTGAGTGACCCATTGGCACAAAAATAATTACCTAATTTGGATTCTACAGAGTTGCACCATGTTTCTTTTTATCTCCCCCTAGTTGGATTTACCCTATTTTTGTCTGCATATTTGTGGAAGATTTGAGGAGATCTTCGGGTTATATCCATTACTAGAAGGGAAGTTATATATATATGTATATTTATTAAATATATATATATATACATTCACTGTCTATGAGCACTTAATACTCACTTGAACACTATATAGTGGAATTGGTGTGATTCCTTCATTGCATTGAATAATTGTTTGTGATATAGTGAAAGATTTTGCACTTTATTTTGTACTTTTACAGCATACCTCGCTCTGCTTGCCAAGGGGTGCAACTTTAAACTTTAGAAAAACTTTGAACAATCGCCTTCCCACGAGGTGCTGCTAGCTTTTGCTGCCAGAACTTGAGGAAGGAGGAGTCTGATGATCAAACATTCCCCGGGGAAACAAGTGAAAGGCAGAAAGGTTCCGTCTGAGGCAGTCAGTGCGGTACAAAGATTTAACGTTATAAGCGGACACTTACACTCCTGCCAAATTATGTTATGACGAATATAACTTAGATAGTCATACATAATTTAGAGAACATAACAATGTGCCACTATGAGCAGGAGTTGTCCAAAATGTAGCTTATAGGTACTCTTTAATTGGCTACTGTATTGTGTGGTAGTGTGCTTGTGGATCACTAAACTGAGAAATTATTTACTCTCTATAAGAACCACTAACTTTTGAATAAGACGTTCAATAATTGAAGATTTTGATGTGTAGTCCTTATCTTATGATCTTCTGTCACCTACTAACACACTGACTTGACGAACTATCCCATCCTTTTCTATTGTAGTTTCGATCACACATCCCAGCTGCCACTGGCATCTTGGAAGCATATCTTCTTTGATTACAACTATGTCATTTACTTTACATTGAGGTGTGTGCCATTTCTGTCTTGTGAAAACGCTCACAAGGTATTCCCTTTTCCACCGACTCCAGAACTGTTCTGCTAAATACTGTACTCTACGCCACCTTTTTGCTTTTTATACATCTTCCTTTACGAACTTCCCAGGTGGGGGTAATGAAACCTTAGATTTCTTTAGGATGAGTTGGTTTGGAGTTAGAGGTTCTGGTGCTTTGGGGTCATTGATTCCATCAACAGTTAAAGGACGACTGTTAACAACGGCCATGGCTTCATAAAATAGTGTTCTAAGCAAAGTATCATCTAGTCTGATTGAACATTGAGCAATTGTGGCATTTAACACATTATGAATGGTTCTAGTTTGATG